TTTTTATATTCTTAGTCCACTTATATATAAAGTGTTGTCTCTATCGCTAGGGTAAGATTATAAGCCTTTTATTAGGCTTAGTATTTCTTAAAAAATTTATTAATATAAGGTATTAATTAAATAAGTAATATAAAAAAGGTTATAATATTTTATTTCTATTAAACTTATATTAGTATTAAGCTAATATAATATATAATAATAAAATTAAATAAAGTAAGTAATAATAATATTATAGTAGTTATAATATAATTATTTTTATAAATAATTACAATAAAAATATTAATTATAAGCTAATAGGGGCTAATAATATATAAATTAAGAAAATCTTAAGAATCTTAAAACTACACTAGTAGTTAGCTAGTAGTTATATTTATAAATAATAAAACTTATAAAAAAATAGCTATTAAAACTATTAAAAAAAGAAAATAAATATAATAGTATTAGCTATTTAATAATAAAGTATTATTCTATAAGTTTTACTAATTTACCTTTCTACTATTTATATTATAATAAAAAAGCTAAATATATAATACTTTTATTATATATTAATATTTATACTATACTAATATATAATAATATATAATAATAAAAAATTCTTTTTTTCTTTTTTATTTTTAAAAGTTTAAAAAGTTTTTAATAAGCTTCTATAAGATAATTTATAATCTATTTCTACTCCGCCCTTATATACTAAAAACTAGTATATAAGGGGGAAGTAACTATTAGCTACTAGTTATCTATAGGCGCTAAGAAGGCTTATAGGAGCTAGAGTAAAAGGGGCTTAATAAGCTAAACTTATTAAAAAGTATTAGCCTTTATAAATAGTTCTTTAGTATTTAGTTCTTATATATTACTATAAGTTTATTTATATTCTATATCTTTTATTATAATTACTAGCGAGGAGCTAGTATATTAGTCTTATAAACTAATATTATAATATTATAAAATATAAAAAATTAATTTTAATTTTATTATAATTTAAATATAAGTAGTTTAAATCTTTTATAAAAGTAATTAAAGGTATTATTAACTATACTATAAAACTTATTAACTTTACTAAGAATTAAATCTAGTCTTTTAATTCTAATTATATAGAATACTAATTAATAGATATTCTACTTATAGGACTAGAATATAGTTAATTATATTATAAAGTTACTTAATAAAAATAAAAATATATAAAGTAATATATAAAGCTTACTTAGAAAACCTATTATAAAATAATAATAAAATTTTATTAAAATATTTAAATATAATTTTTATTATAACTTAATTTCTTTAAAAATATAGTTTCTATAATTAATAATAAAGCTATTTAGCTATTTTATTAAGAAACTAAAATATAAAAATAAAGTATATAATTATTAAACTTTTAACTATTATTAAAAAGTTTAACTCCCTAATTAATATAAAAAATTACTTATATCTTAGACTACTTATAACTAATATAAAAATATTCTTTAATAAAAGGGGGAAGTATTATTATAATCTAGATTATATCCCTCCTAGTTATATAGAAATAATAGTATTAAAGGCTTAGTAAGTATTATAAATTATTCTTATATAATAATAAATATATTTAAACTAGAAAATTAATATATAATAGTTTTTATTAAATATATAAATAGGGTTTCTACCTAAGATAAAGCTAATTCTTTATCTTAGTTCTCCTTATCTTTACTAGGCCTTAGGAGCTAGTTTTCACCTCTAAGTAAACTCTTAATAATATTAACTTAATTAAGTTTTTTTTATTTTAAGATTACTAATATATTATCTATATTAAAATATAAATAAAAAATTTACTTTATAAAGATTATATTTTACTTAGCTAATATTAAAATAAACTTTTTTATATAAATATCTTTAAACTAATTATAAAAATACTTTTTAAATAAAAGTACTTTTATATATTTATTAAAAATATTATTAAGAATAAAAAGATTTATATTATAAAAAATAAGTTTAGACTAACTTTTTAATAAACTTTTACTAGCTATAAAAAGAAAATTAAAATTAACTTAAATATACTTATTAAATATTTATATAATAATTTTAATATTTATAATAATAATTTATTTAATAATTACTATATTAAATATAATATTATCTAAGAATCTATTATTTTAAATAACTTTTAAATAAATAAAATAGTTAAAAGAAATAGCTAAACTATTATAACATATATTTATATTTTATTTAAAAGTAATAGATTTCTTAGAATTATAATTATAAAAGTTATTAAGACTATAGTCTATATTTAAAATTATTACTTAGTTAATAAGTTAAATATAATATTTTATAAAGCTACTAAGGGAGGTTAATTAGACTTTAATTTATTTAATTTATTTAGTATTTATAATATATATTAAAATTAAAATCTAGGTAGTAAAATTTAGTTTAATTTAAAACTAAAGCTATTTAAAGGAGGCTTATTAACTTTAAAAATAATAATTTTTATTATATATTAATATTTAATAGTTTTATTTAATACTATTATTATATAAAATAACTTTTTAATAAGAAAAGATTAATATTTTAACTTTATATAATAAGTGTAACTAGGTAACTATTATAGAATAGAGACTATAATTATATTAAGTTATAAGGAAAGATAATTAAAAGGAGAAAAAAATAGCTAAAGTACTTAAATATACTTAAGTATTAAAAGTATTAAGTAATTTTTAAATTAAGTAAGCTTAAAGAGATTAAAAGTTAAATACTATTAAATAGGTTAAATAAAATTATATATATAGAGCCTTTTAATTTTTTTTTAAATAAATTTCTTTATATTTAATATAAGTTTTATTTTTTATTATAAGATTTAAAATAGTTATAACTTAATTTTATTTTACTATTTTACTTTTATTTATCTTTTTATTATTACTTATATTCTAGAAGAACTAACTTATATACCTATAGTTAAATTAGCTAATATTATTCACTAGTTTAAATACTAAGGTTATAATATATATTTCTAGTAGAACTTAACTACTTACTAAGGAACAATAAGGTATATTAAATAATTTTCCTACTTTAGTACTTAAAGATATTATATTAAATAAAATAGCTATAGGTTTTATATTAAATAAAGTTTTTAATTTATTTCTATTAAAGCTTAATAGCTTAAAATCTAAAGTACCTTAAGATAGGATAGTTTTTAAATTAATAGTTTATAATACTATTTTAATAGTATAAATAGTTAATAAGTACTTATATAATTATTATTATAAATTAGTCTACTTCTAGATAGAAGATTAAGCTTTAATATATCTTTATAAAAGCTATAATATCTTATTAAGTATAAAGATTATAAAAAAGCTATTATAGTAATATATAAGACTATTTTAGATTATAAAAAAGATTAATTACTAAGTATACTAACTAGCCTTTCTTAATAAATAAAAGATTTATTTAATATTAATTATAGTATATTTAAACTATATTTAACCTTATTTTTAAACCTATATAATAAGATACTAATTCTAATACTATTAATTTTAATTAAGAATAATTAAGGTTTTTAATTTAATATAAATATTTCTTTATAAATACTAGTATAAATAAACTTATTAGTATTAGAATTTTAATTAAAATTATTTATTTTAGATCTATAAATAATTTTTCTAGTATTAGAACTTTAATTATAATTAATTATTCTAGACTTTAGGTTTTAAGTATTTATAGTTATAGAGTATTAAATAAGGTTTATATGTATAATATAATAATAATAAACTTTAAGAATAAGCTTAATAAATATAAGACTATACTATAATATAGATAGGAATATATCTTAGAAAGTAGCTTTTATTATATATAGAAAATCTAAGCCTTTTATACCTATTTAAGGAATATTTAAATTATATTAATAACTAAAAAATTTAATTAAATCTAAGTTTTAAAAAGGCTAATATACTACCTAAATATTACTACTAAACTATAATAGAATAATAATAAAAGTAAAGTAATAATAGAATATAAATTTAGAATTAAAAAGTTTAAAATTTTTTTAATTAATTACTTAATTAGAATTAAATATTATAAGAAACTTTACTATTATACTAGTATTATATAATAAATATTAATATTATAAAAAAATATTAATTTAATTAAGTATTTTATATCTTTATATATATAAATATATATATATATTTAAAGTTTAGAACTAATAAACTTTATATAAATAAAGTTATTTTTAAAAAAAATAAAATTTTTTAAGTTTTTAAATATTTATTAAAAATTATATTATTATATTTTATTTATTAAAAATTATATTATTATATTTTATTTATTAAAAATTATATTATTGTATTTTATTTATTAAAAATAAATATATTTATATTATTTTTATAAACTAATATTATATTATATTTAAAGTACTTATATAAACTAGTTTTAATAATATTTATAAATATATTTAAATATATATTATTAAGTATTATATTAAAAATTCTATTTTTAATTTTAATAGTTTATATTAATTATAATAAAATTAAAGTATTTAATTTCTTATTTAATATCTTTTTTTTCTTAAGTAAGTTTAAACTATTTTATAATAGTTTTTTTCTTCTTTTATAATTATTATATTTACTTTTTATAAACTTTTTTTAATTTTTTTTTATTAATTTAATATTAAGTTTTTTAATATTTTCTTTAAGCCCTCTATTAAGTAGTAGAGAAAATATATTATACTTAGATTTTTAAATATAGCTTTATTTTTAAGGACAATTTTGAGATTTTATTTAATATATAAAAAAGTAGTAGTCAAAATCTGTAGCCCCCCTGTAATTTTGGTGGGGGGCGCAATTTTAAATGCCAAGCTTTCGCAAGAGTTTCTTTCTTAATAAATCTCATTTTTGCTTCCTCCGGTGACTTTTTCCCACTTACCTATTACCATATTGATCAATTGACTTTCCAGAGACTATTGAGACTTCATTATACTTCCCTAAATCTTCACTCGTATAGTCCTTCAGCATTACTGATCTTCTCATCGCGTCCAAAAACAATCAACAGAGTCTCCCCGCCATGGATATTTTCTCGACCTCAAAACGGCCAGCTTCATTCTGATGGACACTCAGCATTCGACCCTCGTCCCCCTGCATCCAGAAAGTACGGATAATGCCTGTCTCAGTCGCTCCGATTGACATCTTGTCCTCGTACTTGCCGACATCCTTTCGAGCTCTATCTAATTTGACTTTCGTTGGCTCGGACTTCCAGTTTTTGTCTTGATACCGCAAAACGAAGACTTTATTCCCGTCATTTACCAAGCAAATTCGGGGGATCTGTCCTGGCAGGGCGGTTGCGCACTGGATCTGGTCGCCAGGAAATGGGTTGAAATCCCGATGGGTCATCTGGCTTGGTCTAGTGGACGCTCTGTCGATAAGGAAAGTATGCCCCTGTGCGGCTGAGGAGCAGACGCAAATAGTGCTGGAACTCGTATCGTACACAACGGAAGATAGACGCCAGTCGGGTGAAACTTTCTAAAGGCAGATATGCCACCGCTTAGAAACTGAAGACTATGGTAGACGAATGTGCAACGAAGTCGGTAGACTCACCTTGGGAATTCTGAAATCCTGCATCTGCTGGCTGTATCGCCGGAGTGGTGACAGATCGTGGACACCAACATAGACGTATCCTTCACGAGGCTCGCGAGTGGCAACTACTAGGTGATTGCCACATGTCGAAAACGACATACATTGGCTATCGACTTGGAAAGCGGCTTGGTCGTGAGGCATTGCTGCTGGCAAAATCTCTGAGCTGCCTTTTGCACCATCAAAGATGTTGGTGGCTCTTGCAAAACCCACGGCTATTCGATGACCTTGGCGAGAAATTGCAAGACTGTGTGGCTGCGTCTCTAGATCTTTGGACCATTCTTCATATTCCGATATTTGATCACAACGAATGACAGTCATTCTGTAGCCCTGGAAAAACATTATGAGGGGGGTTTTCAGTCGGGAAACTTCGTTTGCTTACATTTGTTTCTTCGGACACAACGGCGTATCGTACAGAACTACCAGTGGCCAAGACTATCTTTGTGAAAAGATGGCCTTCAGACCACGTTCTCAGTTCGGAGTGACGACAATAGATTTTGGTTGATGTATACGCCAGGAAGTATCTTGCATCTACGAACATTGCGTAAAATATGTGTACACGTGGAGTCGAAGAGCCCGCTTTGAATAAGGATCGTTTTCCTCTTGATGAAGAAAGTGACGTATGATCGCCAGAATTATTGGCGCTCTGGCGAGTTGATCCGTTTTGCCAAGGTCGTAATGGCAAAGACGATGTTGGGCTTGATAATGGTGGCGTAAGACCCTGGGGGACTGGATTTCGCTGAAGTCTTATTGATTGTATTTCAATGTCACGAGGAGCGCTCTCCTGTGGCTGTCTCCCACCAAGCGACCCAGTAAGATCTTGCTCTACGCCTTCGATCGGCTCCACCAGGCGGGCCTGAGTAAACAACGCAGTCTTGCAACGGGGGCAGGCTACAGCTGGCACACTAATGATTTTATCTGCGTCCAAAAGATCCTGCCCAACTATCAGCCTCCAAATTCGAAGCAAAACGGATGGGCGACGCTTGTGTCAAATGACATGGACGTGGCTCATACCTGCAATCTGCTATGATAATCCACGCCTTGAAGGACACGCTCGAGAGTCACGGCTGTGAGAGGATGCAATCTCGGACAATCAATAATGTACGTACTCAAATGCCCTACTGCAAGCCTTTCTTCCTTTGGAAAATCTGTCCATTCTTCGATCCGGGATTGGAAAGTGTTAGTGATTCGTTGGATATGGCCATTGGCGTCTTGAAGCACCTTCTGCCGACTATCAAGGTCTCGCGATATTTGCTGGTGGATGTCCGTCACGTTAAACCTAATCCCGTAGCCGACTTCCTGCAATAAGGGGTTCTAAATCATCAGCATTGACCCTTTTGATGCCAACTTAGCGCAGCTCACCTGTTGATATTCGTGCTGAAGATGCTTGCCGAAGCAATCGCAGCCATGTATGGAACAGCAGGGGAAAGAGTTTAAAGCTAGCATGGTCTCTTTGATTGCGTTGAAGCGAGGATCTTGGCTTGCTCCCTCGCAGCTCATTGCACTTTCAGTAAAATGGATGTAAAAATTCAGGAAGGATAACACCGTTTCAGATTGTGTCGTATACTCAGTGTAATGGCTGCGGCTGCCCGCATCTCTCGTCGTGATGTAGGAAAATACCTGCATTGACGCTGCTATGAGTGCTGACCAGGCATCGTACCAAACGCAGAAGCTTCGAAACCACCATGGGCAGCGGCAGTAAATGCATTTCGTAGCCTGTGAAATAACAAGATTCAGCTGAGGTTTCAGCGGAAACTGACATCGGTCAGCTTATCGTGCACAATTGACCACTTAAACGCCAATCACTAACCAATCCATCACAATAATCTGGTAGGTCAAGAAAGCTTCCGGGGTCTGGACAAAGCTCATGATAGCTGCAGAAACCGCTCACATCGTCGGTCAACTGGGCATCAACAGACGTCGACAAGCTTTCAAGGAACCGAAGACAGAGCTCTTGGATCAGGAATCGGTAGAAAGTATCATCCAAAGGCCAGTTCAACAACCTCGATTTTAGGAAGTTCGCCTCAGACACCCAATCATAATCTTCAATAATTGGAAGCTTTTTCTTGAAGAGTGTAAGTAATCGAAGCCCTGATAGAAGTGCAGCTCCTATCAAGCGGAGTAAATGATCAGTGAGCGGATGTGGGTAGCCTAAAGTTCGGAGACAATTGTCCTTGACTGTCAAAAGAAAGTTCAAAAGTTCGGAGACGAGAGCAGGCTCCAAAAGATACTGCCTGATGTTTGGCGATGGATATCTCGACTGAAGATAAGTTTTCTGGAGGTGGAGAGCTATCTTGATCAAGTTGACCAGGCGAATAAAGCCATCTATTGAATTCGTGGCAAAGGGATTTTCGACACCTGATGCGGTTTGTAATGTGTATTGACCAATAGCATCGCGTAATGTGGTGGCTAGGTCCGTTCGCTTTTCAAGCTTAGTCCAAATGGAGGAAATGGATGGATGAGACATTCAAACGAGTGTCAGGAGACAGATATTGTAGCGCACCCCAAGAAGCCTTAAGTCCTCTGTCTCGTCTGCAAAAACGGAGGAGAAAGACGCGCTGTATACCAATCAGGATGAATACGACAACCAGAAAGACCACAAATCGAAATATGCGGGCGGAATTAGCGATAGTGAGCCCAGGAAAGAGGGTACATCAAATCGGGTCGTCTGATTCAGCTTAAGATTGAACTAAGTGGAATTCGAATAAATTGGGCGGTATGCGAGCAAAGCGAATATTAATGAATGAGCATAGATGATGTGGAGCTACATGGCCTCACGACATCTCTATGAGCGCCAAACCAGTAAGGCTGTCCAGTCGAGTCACACAATTAAACCAGGCGTCTAGAGAAACGATCTCGGCCGAACTGGTTCGTGATATCAATACCAAGGCTTGCGGCCTTGTTATGATCTACGCGCAAGATGAAATACTTACGCCAGCAGGCCAGAGGCTCATTCTTAATCTTACAGCTCTACAATTAGGACGACCGCGCTGCGATTGCTATGCAGAGCGGTCTGGCGGTCGTTTTACCGCTTACAAAATACCTGTCTAATATAGGAACCTTCGTCTCATGTCCCATCATTTTAACCAAACCCAAACCCATTCAAAAACGCCCCATACATTACGGTAAGTCACAACACTGTCACGATCCTTACGATGCAGTCTGCCCCTGCGATACAGTGGATTGGGCTGTAGGGCTTTCTCAGGATTTGAGAGGTCCTCACTTGCGGCTATCGACCAATTCAAGGGATTCCAAGAATTATCGATTTTGACGTGGTACGCTGCTGCTAGGAGCAGGAAGATGAAGATCTACGCAGTGAACTTAGTGGTGCTGAAATGAAGTTCGGTACCATTGACTTACACTGATGTAACTCGCCACAAAATCCTTCCCTGCTATGGGTTGGACCGTCCGCCAGCCGTTGAAGAAAGCCATAGCGCCACAGGCGATCATGCCGTACCATGCCCGCATGAACTGCCAATGAGACTTATACGGATATCTTGCTTTGTCCTCTCGATTGTATGCGGCTCGATCTTGTCCTGTGTTCAATATCGGAGGCTCGAGTCCTTGCGCAGCTCTTCTGATACTACAAATCGTCAGCACCGCAGTTCGAAAATGATGTTCGCAAGGCACATCCACGTACCTCCTAAAAAACTTCAGAAACGACCCGCAGATGACTGTGTAGGTAATCAACATGGATACAGTCGCATTTGTGGCCATCCTGCCTAGGACCTATAAGAGTCATCAGTCAGCTCAAGGTCATGTATTTACGCATTTGGAGCGTACCTGTGCGGCTTCTGCCTTCACAGCAAGCAAACCCAACCACCCAAGAAACCAACTCGTCAAAACTGCCGCCCGAGGCACGCCTGACTCACTTGTGCGCTCCAGTCGGCGTCGGAGTGATTGGGTTATAGGCCATTTCGGCCAAACACCGCTCACATTGGCCAGTGCGTGGAGTCTTGAGCTATGGTCAGCTTAAAGCATTCTCTTTGGATTTTTTCGTGACTCACAATCTGGACGACAGATACAAAGAATTCATACCTGCTGAGGTGGCAGAAAAGATGAAAAAGGCGTTGAAGAAGGTTGGGAAACCAATGACGCCGTCTCGAACTGCGGCCACAATGAAGGCCGAGTGAGCTCCGTTAGCGAATGAATTCACATCGTTATTGACAATTTGCGGATCATCATAAGGAATGTTCAGCCCCACGACAAAGATACCCAACGTATAGAGGAGAATAATGCGCAGCGAAGTCTTCCTTGTGGCCAACTTGATGTTTTCTTCCGTTTCTAAGTCCTTGCTCTCGGGAGCCGTGATCGACACAGCCTCGAACCCGATCAAAGAGAAAATTGTGACCGTCATGGCCGTCCACATTGCAGCAAAATGAGCTGATCCACCTTCGTAGGTGTGACCAGAGCTGGAGGTGAAGTTCTTGGAATCAAAGCCCCATGGCTGTTGATAATATTTGAAGTATGTGTGATTTCGAGCATTATTCACGATGTTGAACATTATCAAGCCCACTATGAATATCATCTTTATGCAACCGATTATGTATTCTATTTCTCCATATATGCGGACACGCAGTAGATTGACTCCAAGGATGAAAAGCAGCCAAAGCACGACGAACACCGCCGGGGAGATGTTGGCTGTGGAACTCCAATCAACGGAATATCCAGAAGGGTAGCCGACTTGCTGGAGGTATTTTGGATCGAACTGAAATTTGAAGAGGTTTGCGATGGCTGTGACCTCTGCAGCAAGGACTACTATGTAAGCAAACCTGCAAAGCTTCAGCAAAAATGTCAAAATCTGAGCTCATTCTGTATGTAGTATACCATGACATCCACCCGCAGGCATATCCAATTCCAGCATCCACGAATCGACTCGGAAATTCAAACATAGCGCCCTTCACAGGCAACAACGCCGTCATCTCGCCCAGTGAAGCCATGACTGACCAAATCGCAGCTCCCATGAGTAAATAGGCAATCCAAGCCAGGCCAGGTCCGGCAAGGAAGATAATTCTCCCAGCTTGAAGGAAGAACCCGATTCCGACAATCGTTGAAAATGCGATCATATTAGTATGCCTCTCGGCAAGTGCCTTCCTGTGAACCAAGTCAGCAAAGCCGTCTTTGAAGACAGAATTCAAGAGCCACTCGCAAGCATTAAGACTCACGAAGCGCACTTACTTTAGCTCGGTCGAGTAGCCACCTTGGTGATCACTCGGTTGATTTGCAGGTGGCGCCATCTGCATCGCAGTATTTTCGCTGGCCAGGTACAGGCCTGAGTGGGTGCCATCCCCACCGTGTGATGCATTGTTAAATACTGGGCTGAAAGCTTTACCTGAGCTGTGGCTAGTGGAAGCAGATGCCCTGCTCGTGTGATGGGAAGGAGGAGCCACAGAAGGCCGTTCGCGTCTTACGGCGCTCTGGTCCATTGGGTATAATGACACAGATTTCACAGCATTGAATATTGAAAAGAGAAGCGAGAAGCAGAAGGTGCATGAGAAGAAGAAGAAGAAGAGAGGGGAGGGGGGTGCCTGAGATGCTGTAGTCTTTGGCAGAGAACGTAGCCTTACGCCCCGAGCCTTGCGGGATCCTTGGACTCACCTTTTAGACATAAAAAAGCCCGAGCGCTATCAGGATTAGGGAGATATTTACTATTCTGACAACAAGTGGCTGCGCTAACAGCATCTTGACCAATGGAGGGTTGCTAACGTGCAGAAGCCAGCCTGATCATTTGGAATTGAAACTGCATAGGGGCCAGACGGCCTTGGCTTGCTCTGGGCGGCAGCAATCGATAGATCCAAACTCGCCATAGGAGCGAAAGGTGAAATACGGTGGCGCTGCAGACAAGGCTAGACCTCGTTCCATTTCCTCTGAAGGTGTGCACACCTTCAGCTCAGCCTCTCCTAGGCACAATTGCACGTGTGTCAGTGATGCGACATCTCGTCTTTACCCGTAGACTTGAGCAGCGACTACACCGTGGATCCCTTAGTCGTTTTAAAGAGCCTTTGAAATCCATTTTGTACGAGAAGTATCCACCTCAAGGCCTCCTGAAAGCTAGAGAATAAGGGTTACCTAGTTGGACTTTCCAAAGCCAATTGATATGGCAGCAGTATATCTTTCGCATCGACTGGCCAACTTGGCCATGTTACTGACCTGTCTCTAGAGAAATATATCTACCTGCGAGATCTGCAGGATCCAGAGGCCGACAGAAAGGCTCGTTCAGTGTTCGAACTGTCGCCCGGGAGGAAGTTCATCGTTCTACTGCGCCGCCCATTGCTCAGAATCAGATTGCAATCATGCCGAGAATTGTCGACAAGAGGGACACGAAAACTGTTGGGATGCTCATCTTCCTAGGAAAGGGAGGCAAAAACACGAGAAAATTGATGCTTTTCCCGACTATGTTGCCAGGTTGATCCTTCACTCTGAACCAAAGAGTGAAATTCAGGCACAGAATCATGAAAGAGACCGCAGGGCCGAATGGTTTACGGTCAACTCAGGCCCTTTTGAGGAATCTGAGGCCACAGTCCAGATCACCGAACGTTTTCGCAAACTTTGTGACCCAAGGTATGTCAGCAATAGATCTAGCTCGGAAAGCTATCCAAGCATAGTATCTTTCATTGGTGATACTGGAGTTGGTAAATCTACCCTTGTGAACGCCATGTCTGTCATAGGGCAGATTCAATCGCAACTTTCGGGTGCTTCTTCTCCATCAGGGTTGTCACCAACCAACTCATTGAAAAGACCATCCAATTTACCAAAGGTCGAACAAACTCGTAGAGAGGGGCCCGTTACGCGCTCGGGTGATCCTCGACGTGCAACGGAGCCCACCAGCTCCGGCGTACACTTGTATCTTGACCCAGGAGTAAACAAAGTTCGCTATCACCCCAGTCGAGAGCCAGAAGCAGTACCGCTCCTCTATGCTGACTGTGAAGGGTTTGGGGGAGGCACAAACACGACGAACGCGGAACGTAGTGCTCAAGGTCCTCCAATAAGCCATTCAAGGCGAAATTCTGCCTCGTCGTCTAGTCAACAGTCCTTTCGAAGTCCTTGGAGCACTGGAAGAAATATCATGAATGAGTTAGAAATTACTTTGCCGGAAATCAAGAATGCTGGTAAAAGCGGCGCCGAGCTATATTATGCTCGCTTTCTCTACGCTTTCAGTGACGTGATCGTCTTTGTTACAAATCACGACCAGCAGCTACACAAGGATATACAGCGTCTCTTAGAGTGGGCTGCCTCTGCCGTTCGTAAGTAACGTTCTCAATCAAAGCCTGGGTCTTCTCCTGCGGGCTTGATCTCAAGCCTCGAACCACGCTCTTGGGACCGACGACCCTGGAGACATGTTGCAAGGCTCTTTCTGCCAGCCACAAAAGGCATTGCTGACTACTATTTTAAACAGACAAGGCTATCAATCATCTCCCCAGGAAGACCCTAATAATTGTGCAGAATATGCCCGCACGACATGAAAGCGAATATTACTCTGAGGCATTCCACAAACGATCTCTGCTGGGCTCTATGGACAACATCTGGGAAACTTCTAAAGTATTAGATGCTTTCAAGAAACGTCACGACAAAGAGTCTTCCAGGAGAGAAAATGAGATTCACAGTAATGAAATGTTCTTGAAGATCTTCTTTCAAAGCGTCGAAGTCTGTTACATTCCAAACAAAGGGTTTGCAACAGCGGCAGAAGTAATACGCCAGTATCGTGTTTTACGCAATCTTATCACCCAAGCAGTAGAGGCAGGTCAGCAGGCTAGATCTTTCTCATGGACACGATACGATGTACCTAGCTTATCGCATCTCTTCGGTAGAGCCTTCCATCATTTTGCTAAGATATCAGGTCCTTTCGATTTCTACACTGCTGCGAGGAAAGACAATCCTATGTCGGAGACAATGGAGGATCACATCGCTAATCTTCTACGGTATATGCAAATTTCAGATGTCCGGTTGAACGGATTTCCATCTGTAGTGGCAGTATGTCTCATTTGTTTCGTGCATCGGGATTTCAGGCGAGGTAGGTCACAATCCTCCTATTAGCCACTAAAATTGACCGTGATAGCCATTGAGCCCAAGGAAATTTTCGACCGGACATTGCGCCGTGTCTGTGAGAGGACCATTCACATTTACCAGAACAAGTACCAGCGTTGTGCATTCATTTTTCCAAACGGGCAGCCGTGCAAAGCGATTAGACTAACTCATCCCGAGCATTGTAGCTCAGATGAAAAGGGTTCAAAATTTCCAGGATCTTTCGATCCTGCTCATTACTACGAAACTCCTGGCGATACTATTCGGAAGATTGAGCAGTCCTTCATTAGCATGTTTAAGGCACTGTGTTCTCACTTGGCCGGCGGGTCCGTACTTCGCCTTCCACCTTCTCATGATGTGGCGGTCTATCGGCAGCAGGTCCTGAATTCGAAATTGCTCATAGACTTAAAGTTTTGGCAAGGAGCAAAGAGTAACAAGACTTGTTTCTCTTGTCTTCAGTCAGTTCCAGACCATGCTCTTCCTTGTGGACATGTTTACTGTGAGCCCTGTATAAAAGAGTTCGGACAACCCGATCAAAATCGGCGCTATTGCATCGAGATGGTTAGATGTGTGCTTTGCTTAGCGGAATGGCCCACACATCAGGCCCAATTGATTCAGCTAAAGCCTAAGTTTTCTGGAGTCCGTGTACTAACCCTGGATGGAGGCGGTATCAGGGGCATCGTTGAACTTGCTATTTTGGCAGAAGTTGAGCGCCGTGTGGGACTGGGAGTGCCAATACGCGAGCTGTTTGACCTCATTGTTGGAACCAGTACAGGTGGGTCGAGTTACATAGTTGTCTCCGTTATCAAGTCAGCAGAACTCGGGGAGGTCTAATTATCGAACAGGAGGCATTATCGCTCTTGGGTTAGCAATGACCGACTTCAATGTCGGAGAAATGACTGCCAGATTTTTACAATTGTCTGAGAAGACATTTAAGACAAATCGTGGAGGAATATGGTCCAATTTCGACCCCTTCAACGTCTTCCCCGCTGTTCTCATGGCAGTCAAAGCATGGGAAAGCAAATATAGGACAACTCCTTTGCGTGAAGGTCTGGTCGACCTATTTGGTAAGGACAAGCCTATGTTTCCGCCTACGACTTCTACGGGCAATCAACGCACTGTTCGGGTCACAGTTACTTCGACCACCTCGGGTGATCCTTGCATATTTACAAACTACAACCGAAATATATCAACAGGTGAGCAAATCCTAGATTTTAGGAGACTACTAAGCTGAAGTTGCCCAACTCCGCCAGACGATAAGGATTTTGAACGAGAGGACGAACAATCTCAAGAAGCCAAGGTATGGGAAGCGTAAGTCTTCCTCTCTGCTCTTCAGCATCGCATCGACAAACTTGTATGCTTTACTCACTAGACCGAGCCAGTGCTCTAGCCACTTCTGCCGCGCCAATCTATTTCAAGCCGTTCCAAAGGGGCGATCCACCGAAATTGTACTCTGACGGTGCCCTACATGCAAATCTTCCAGCTGAGTATGCATTGTGGGAGACGCAGAAAATCTGGCCGACGGTGCACCCAGACCGGCCGTCGGATGAGCTTCACATTGATGATGCATTTGGTAAAGACCTCATCAGCTCAATAGAGGCTCTTGATTTTGGGGATGAGCGGGCTGATGAGTTGGACAATATCGGAGGCCTCATGGTTCAGTCGAGTCACCGTACTGAGGTTCACATCGATACTCTTGTATCGATCGGAACTGGGCAACAAGAACGAGTAGATAAGTACCCTAGTGCATTCGAAGTTGGTGGATTGAAGCAAATCTATCTGTCTCTCATCAAAGCGATGGATACGGAGGCTTCATGGGAGGATTTTCGAAAGAAAGGGTCGAGAAAAGATGTTCACCAGTATCGACTCAATGTGCCTATCACTGGCAAATATGTCGCACTTGATGATTGGGACCAAATGTATCGGCTGGCAGAAGCTGTCCGACAGGAGTATCTCACAAACAGCCGCGCGTTGAACGATGTACAGGACGTTGCGTCTCGACTTGCTGCAAGTCTCTTATTTTTTGAACCTGATGCACCAGACTCAAGTCGTCTGCAACCACCCGATAGATGGCACAGAATTCACGGACAAATATGGTGTCGCTTGCCCAGGGACAGCTCGACAATTGTAGCACTGACTGACCGAATTACCGGCTTCTGGATTCGAGAAGACAATCCAAAAATGAGGCTGAGCCACCCAACCCCAGTGCCGCTCAAGGACGGCTGGAAATCAGAAATCAGAACGCAAGGCAGACACCTTTCTGTCCCAGCCCTGATTAAGACTATGGAGCCAGATTCAACGATCACATTATCTGTGAGGCTCAAAGACGTGGAGTCGATTAATGATACTCTTCCGACAAGGGAGAGGACATATCCAATCAGCGGTTTCCCAATCCTGTTCAAAGATCTTGAAGCAATGGTCCTGGCCCAATAAGCTCACGATCTAACGGAATATTCAATACGGAACATGTAAGTGACGACGTCAAGCATAAACACTTTACTTATCGAAACAACATTACGACTCAGCGGTATGGGTAAAATATGAGAATTAGACAACTTGTTGATCTCTTTTGGAATATCAAGGTTTCCAGAGGCCTGTTGACCCACATTTAGTTCTTGAATCGAGCTGTAGCATGAAACGGCGTATATTCAGGAAGAGGTCATCTGCTTCGTAAAGTTAGCTTCAAAAAAGCCCAAAAATTCCATATGAATCCATAAGCCTGCAGTCCTCAGAGGTGCCGCGCTTTGAAATTGACTTGGCCAACTCGAATGTTCCCAATTCATCAACCAAAAGGATACCTTATGTCTACGTTCGAAATGTCTATACAAGGTATTAATTTAATTAATTACACGCTAACATACTATGTAGTAGTACATACTAACCTAGAATATTTTAGACACTCTAGCGAGTAATACTAAAATATTATAAATTTACTTAATAGTTTTCTAGACCTTACTAGTCTCTCTTCTAAATAATCTTTAATTAACTACTTTTTACTTTCTCTAAAGTATTATAAAAAAGACTTTATTATCTTTTTAAAATTCTTAATAATAATAACTTAAAGTTAAGAACTAATATTAATTCTTATAATTTTAATATTTATTAAATCTTTTTTAATTAAATTCCTTAATATTATTTTTAAAAATATATTTAATTATTTCTTAAACTTTATTATTATTTATTTTATTTTTATTTTTAAAACTTTTTTTATATAATTCTTTTATATAAATATAATTATTATATTTATATTTAAATATATTCTTTTATATTTATAAATATTAAAAATATATATTAACTTTATATAGCTTATATAAACTTAGTTTTATTAGCTTAAACTTTAAAAACTTTAAATATATATATATTTATTAATATATAATAAATTAAAGTTTTTTAAAAAAAGAAAAATAGAAAAATACTAGTATTATTTAAAAAATTAATTTAATTAAATAATTTATATTTTTAAATATATAAATATATATATTTAAAGTTTATAACTAATAAATCTTATATAAATAAAATTATTTTTTAAAAAAATTTAAATAATTTTTAATTTTTAATTTTTTATTAAAAGTTATATTATTATATTTTATTTATTAAAAATAAATATATTTATATTATTTTTTTAAACTAGTACTAGATTATATTTAAAGTACTTAAATAAATTAATTTTAATAAAATTTATAAATAATAATTTAATATAAATTAATTAAACTTTTAATAAATAATTAAATATAAGTTTTAAACTTTATTTATTTAATTAAAATTAATAAAATATAAACTTAAAACTTTTTTTTAAAACTTTAATTATATTATTTTATTTTTATATATTTTTTTAATTTTATATAAGTTTCTAAAACTTTATTTTAAAAAGTTAAATAAATTTAATAAACTTTTTTATTTTATTTAACTTTATTATTTATATTATTTTTATATAATAAGTAATTAGTTAACTAAAGTTTATAATAATAAGAAAATTTTATTTAAATACTTTAAAAATTCTTAATAAAAAAATAAAACTTTTTAAAATTTTTTTTAAAAAAACTTATTATTTAACTAGTTAATAGCTTAAAATATATATAATTTCTTTTTAAATAAACTTTAAAAAAAGATTTTAATAAATTATTATAACTCTAGTATTTAAACTAGTAAATAATATTAATTAATTTAATTATAAATATATAAGTTAATTCTTTTAAAATATAAATAATAATTAGAAAATAAATAAAAGTAAAATAATAAAATAAAATAAAATAATAATTATTTTAAATCTTATAATAAAAATTAAAACTTATATTAAATATAAAGAAATTTATTTAAAAAAGGGAATAAAAAGTTCTATATATATAATTTTACTTAACTTATTTAATAATACTTAACTTTTAATTATTTTAAACTTATTTAATTTTAAAGTTATTTAATATTTAAATACTTTAGCTATTTTTTCCTTCTTTTAATTATTCTTTTTTATAACCTAGTATAGCTATAGTTTCTATTCTATAGTAGTTATCTAGTTATACTTATTATATAAGATTATAATATAAATCTTTAAAGAAACTTAAAAAGTTACTTTTTTTTAAAAATTTCTTATTATATAAACTATAATACTTAAAGTAAATTAGTAAGAGAGCTATATCTATATATTAGGAATACTTAATAGGAGTAGGACTTTACTTAGTATATATAGGATAGTACCTTATATCTAAGCTACTATATATAGAATAATCTCTATTATTACTAATATAATTATATTTTAACCTCTTTACTCCACTAGCTTAATAGCTAATAGTAATATTTACTTAGTACTAGAAACGCTTATCTATAGCGTTCTAGTATATTAAAAATATTTTTTAAAAAGTATTATATAATCTTTATAATCTAGTTTACTAAACTAGTTTAGCTTAGAAATTTTTATTAGTTTTTTATATTTTAATTAAAACTTTTTTAAAAGTTTTTATTTATTATAATTTATTACTATATTAATTAACTATACTAGTTAATTATATTAATTAATTATAATATTAGCCTTGCTACTAAAAACTATTTACTTTTAACTAACTTTTTTTATTACTAAATTAAAAAAAAAAGTTTTATTATAGTAATAAAATATTTATTAACTAGGAGCGCTTTAGTAACCTGCTTTTTAGAAAAAGTAAGGTTAATTTTAATTATTATTAAAAATTAACTTTTTTAAATTTAATTATTAATCTAAATTATTATTAAAATTAATTCCCTTAAATTTAACTATTAATTTAGATTATTATATTCTAGATTATTATACTAGCTTTTATAGTTAATTAGTTAATTTTTATCTTAGTGTTCTAGTTTTTAGAATTTTAGTTTTTAGGATATTAATATATAGAACTTATAAATAATAATATTTTTACTTTTTTAGTAGTTATTACTAAGAACTAGTTCTAACCTATATTAATAGTTACTTTATTATAAACTTTATTATATTATCCTTTAACTCCTAGTATATATTACCTTTTTAACTAGAATACTAATTATTCTAGTATTTAATAAGTAATTAAAAAGTTCTTAAATAAAACTTCTAGGATTAAAAGACTTTTTAATCTACTATCTACTAATACTACCCCTTTATTAAAAGTATATACTTTATTAAATAAAACTAATTATAGACTATTTACTATAATAGTATTAAGTTTAACCTATTTATTATCTTTTAATATAGTTACTAGGACCTTAGAAATAAACGTTAAAAAAACTATTTATATAAATCTTATTAGCTTAAATTATAATTAAAGATACTAGCCTATAATAGTAATAATTTTAGAAGTAATTACCTAGCTAGTAACCTAGCTTTTAGCAGAAAACATTTATATTAATAATTAATCTTTTAATTAAAATAACTTTAACTTTAATATTAAACTTTTTTAAGCTAGCTTTAGCGTTTTAAAAGCTAAAAATATTAGCTTTTTTAACTTTTCTATAGAAGGGGAAGGACTAATTATAATTATAAGCTATTACTTTTTTTATTATAATATTTTTATATTTATTAATTAGTTAAATAATTTAGTTTATTATTATTTACTAGAAAAGATTTAAAAACTTTTACTAACTTACTTTTAAGGGGAGGCACTAAAGTAGTATTTAGTAAAATTAACTAAAAATAAAAAGGACTTACTTATAGATATTAAATTAAAAAAATAGATTAAATAGCTAATAAAATATTTTAAAAAACAAGCTTTTATAGCTATTAATAGTTTCTAATAAAAAAATATAAATACTAAGAAGCTAAAGCTAGAAAATTTATTTATACTTATATTTAAAGTATTTTTTAATATATATAAGTAATAGAAATAGTTTTAATTTTTAACTAGTTTAATATAGCCTAAAATAGTTTCTTTTTTAACTTTAGGAAAAATATCTTAGAACTAATACTAGTAATAACTTTAAAATAATTCCTAGAGTTAAATTAATATTAAATTAAGTATTTAGCTTAAAATAGTATACTATTAATAATCTTATTAAAAGGGAAAAAAGACTATATTAAAACTAGCTAGATTATAAAAGTTAAGTTAGTATTAAACCCTATATTAATTATAATATTTATTTAATTCTTTCTAATCTTATAACTTTTATTTCTAGTTTTAAATAAAAAGTAGCTATAGCTATAGCTATCTATTCTTATTAAAGCTTTTATTTTTTAATAATTAGAGAAATTATATTAATAAATAGAATATTTTATAGTTAAATCTATTTATATAGTAAATTTTTTTTTAATATCTATTACTATAAATAATAATAAGAAATATAAATATATCTAGTTTAGTAAATTATTTATTAAGTTAAATTTTTTATCTTTTAAGAAAGTTTTAAAATAATTAAAAAATAGCTTTAACTTACTAGGCTAAAAAAAGCAATACTTTTTAGTTTATTAATAAAAATATTAAAATTAAAGAATACTATAATACTAATAAAAACTAAGATTATAATAAAAGCTATAACTACTTTAAAAATAATTTAATAAATAACTACTTTATTACTTTAGTTTTACTAGCAATATATATTTATTATTATTATTATAAACTATTTACTTTTTAGAACTAGCTTTTTAGCTATTTAAAAAAAATATACTAGAAAAATCTAGATTTAACTATTTTTATAAAATATTTAGTTAAAAATATTAAAACTATTATTAAAATAAGTAAAAACTTAAATAAAAAACTAGTAGCTAATATTTTAAATAAAATTAATATTTAATTTATATCTTTTAACTATATAATTAATTCTTTACTTATATTAGCTTTATCTATATTAATAAAAGTTTTTAACCCTATTATTTCTAAAATTAAAGTATTTAGTTTTTTAAAAAAAATAAGCTTTTATAGCTAGTAATATATTATTTTTAAAGCTAGCTTTTAACTACTAAGTAGTTAATATAATATTTATACTAACTTTAGCGCTATTAT